TTGAACTTCTCACCAATTAAAATTCTTTGGATTTGATTATTTTTTGGTTATGTGCATAGGTGGGCCTCAACCCTTGGAATTTGGGGTCCCTGGATACCGCTTGATTTTTCCAGAATGATCTTCTCCTTATTGCCTCAGCTTAATGGCTGCTCCTCAGAAACACCCCCTCACTGCCCACCTTATCTGAAAAGGTCCCTCCCTTCCACTGCTTTCTGTGACATTCCTTGTTTCTTTCCACTTACCATACTGATAATTATTTAACTAACTTTTTCCTTGACTCCCCATTATAATGTAAACTCCACAAAGGCAGGGAATGATCTGGTCACTGCTGTGTCTCTAATGCCTGGCATTTAGGAAGTGCTCAGTAAAGTTATTGAATGAATAAATCAGTACATTCAAGAAATATTTTTAAAGCAACTTAACACTATCTCCAGCTCAGAGGACACAGTGATGGAAAGCACAGATTTGAATTTTGCGGTTTAGTCAGGGAAAGACATATACAAGAAACTCGCTATAAATGAGGTGATGGTAATGGCAGGGGAGGTATAGAGTGCTGTGGCATGCCTGGCAAGGGGACCAGTTAGTACAGAATTAGGGGAGGCTTCCAGGGAGAAGTGATGTTTAAGCTCAGTCCTGAAGGATAAATAGGAGTTCCCAGTTCAAGGGGAGCTAGAAGATGTTCCAAACTGAGAGAGGGTCCAGATGCCAGGGTATAGCTCCTTGGGGAGGCCGAGAGAGTATGCATGGGCAAAGCTTAGCTCTGCAGCAAAACAAAGTTGGATAGGAGAGGCAAAACAAAGTTGGATCAGGGAGAGTTTTTCAAGCCTAATAAGGAATTTGGATTTTATCCTAGGGCCAATTAAGAGTCATTAAAGAACCTAATTGGCATGATCCAATTTGTACTTTACAAACTGGCCCTGGGGTACCATGGATAATAGAATGAGGACTGGGGGCAGGGAGATCAGGAGGCTAGTGTAACAGTTTAGAAGAGATGAGTGTGGCTTATACAGCATGGTGGTGATGGATGAGTGAATTTAAGAGAGAAGGCAAAAGTTGGGGCAGGGTATACAATCTAGATGATCCCTAGGTTTCTAGCATGAATAACCTGGTGAATGGGGCACCATCTTTGGGCATCTGGTAGAGAACCAGACACCTAGCACACATGACATAAATGTGTACTTGATGAAGTAAAAACGGTCTTAGTGGAATGTGATGTCTCCACAGCATCAGCTCTTGGATCCCAAGACTGCCTATAGGTGTGACCCACCATTTCAACTACCTCTACCTGCCTTGCATTACCCATTTGTGACCTTCCAGGTTTGCCTTAGTGCAGTATTTCTAGTTCACAGTCCGACTAGCCTCTAGGACACCTTTGTCTCTGTCCCCTTGCTAAGCTGCGTGCGTGTGCCCTCCCCCACTCCCTCTGTCCACCAGTGTCATTACAGCCAAGAACGCTGCTGTAATTTTTCATTAATTTTCTTTGTGTTTTGCAGTTATGGTAACATTAAAATTTATGCTCAATATTATTATTATAATTTCCCACTACTAATGGGATTATTATTTTTGTTCATTTGTATTTGAAAGCCATTAGCATAAGATTTACCTCCAACAATATCTATTGTGATTTTTAATGCCCTTGAAACTTGCAGTGAGCGATAAGTTATAATAAGAGAATGCTGGTAAGCATATAAATGTCTCTCTTGGGAAAAAGAGGGCTTTTTATTTTCATCATGGTTGGACTCGGGTTCTTTGATAGAGCGATTGGTAGGATGTGAGGTATGAAAGGCTGAGAACACTGTGTAGTTTGTAGATGGGTTCAAACAAGTTCCCCGGTTACTCAGAGGGCACTTTTAGATATGAATCCTTGTAGGAAGATTCATATTCGTGCTCTTTTTCATGTTGTTTCTTACCTGACTTACAGAAAAATATAAAAAATTGTGTGCTTGCTGGGACCAATATTTAGAAATACGAATTGCTTAAAAGGGACTCTGAAGTTACTTTTTTCAACTGGCTTTCCTAGAATCTGGGGAGCTTGCTGGAACTCTGGAAACAGGGCTTATTTCAGTCCTGAGAAAGAAGTTTCTCTGAGAGGCAGCTGTGCGGGGCAGGGAAGTTAGGCAGAGCTGAACTCATTGGTGTGCAACCTATATAGATTCTCAGGGCCATTTACTGAAAAATTCATAGCATCATTGTCTTGAAATTCTTAACTAGTTTTGAACAACAGACTCCACATTTGCATAGACCTTGTGTTACAGACCCTCACCCAAAAGAGTGGGTCCTTTGCCCTCTAGGGAATGAATCACCAGAGAGTGCTAGTTGTAGTTGAACCAGGCAGGGCTTTAAAATTTAGAGAGACTGGGGCCTCCATGGTGGCACAGGGGTTAAGTCTCAGCACTATGAAGCTATCCACAGCCACTGCAGCATGAGTTCGACACCCAGCTGGCCAGGAAGCTATCCACATGGTGCAGCAGACCTTTCCTGACTTTCCCACTGCCCCCCTCAGCAGAGTATTCCAGTAGATCCACCCGTTCTGCTCCCCACTCTGTCTCTGGTGAATCCTCTCAACCCTGCACCTCTGGCCTGTACCTCAGTTCTTGTATGCATAAATAAATAAATCTTTAAAAAAATTAAAGAGACAGATGCATGAAGGAGCCAGTTGGGGAAGGAGAATATAACCTGGCTCCCCAAAGGGAGTTAGGACTTGATATTTAAAGGGTAGGTCCATGAGACCTGGAGAGCAGTCCAGGAGAGCAGTGTCACAGCTTGTTCTGGGTTGGACTATGCCCAGGCATGCGCGGATGGGTTATATTCCAGCTACACATGTGGGCTCTAGGCTTTCTCTCTCCAGGAAATTGTGAGATAATCATTAGTTAGGATTTAACACTTTTTAAGCCACCATGGCCCTCCTGGTGAGGGTAGTAGCTGAATTGTTTGCACAGGACTCCCCAGCCCGTGATTTAGTCCACCTGTTCATACGGCACAGGGGCCACTCATCCTATTGGCTCACAGTTTCTTTTACCTAGGCTGTCTCACTTGCAAATTATTTATCTGGTCTATGTACCTGCTTTGGAGCCAGACAAAATTGGGTCAAGTCCTGGTATTCTTTAGCTATTGATGTGCCTCAGTTTCCTCATCTATAAAGCTGGGATAATAATACTGTCTGCTTAGAGGTGCAAGATAAAAGAAGATGTCCAACACCCAGGGCACCTGACAGGTGGTTACAGACTCTGAGACCTGCTCAGTGGGATTTTTAACTCACATGTGCAGTACTTATAATTAAACTTATTATTATGTCTTAATGTTAGGAACACCAACCAGCTAGGATAGGTGGGTTGTGTGGTGCAGAAGCTAAAGCCAGGTGTGCTGGTTGGGATAATACACCAAGAAGACGATGTTCTCCCAAGGGAGACAATCTAGAACTGGGGGTCCCATCCATCAATATTCAAGCATTTTGCAGATGACAGATAATATTTGCTAGAACAACATGATCCCAATTATCTACAATTCATACATGCTTCCCTTCCCTGCAGAAACCTCTCATGAAAGCCATTGAGGAAGAACCGTATTATTATGAAGATGCCCTTGACCTTGATCAAATTCATTTGAAAACCTCAGTCTTTCAACCAGCATTTGTAACAAATGGTCTTACCACAAAAGTTCACAACAGAACTCAACAAGTCAGAGGATTATAATTCTACGTGTGAGAAGCAGGAACGTAGACCCTCAGGATCTCAAACAAGGGTTTGCCCCAGGATAAATCAGACAGAGTAGGACAATAGGGGGCTCTATGACTTTGCAGATGACAGGGCTGCACCGTAGCCCAAATAAGTGCTCCCAGTTCCCCGACATGGGGACCCGAGTCAGAGAAATACTAAGAAGTCAATCAGATAAACTTGTGATGAGTAACATGTGATCTTAAAACATCTGGTTAAACATTTCATCCCCCACAAATGGAGATGGCACTTTAAATCAAATTAATAAGAAGCATAAGCTAGTTTGGGGGCATTTTTGCACTCTGGACCAAAAGGATTGGACCAGGCTATAGTAGGAGCCAGGGTGACCTTTGTTGCATTCAGTTCAGGGTATATGGGAGCTTGGAGACAGATGTTACAGAGTGCTGCTTAGAACTGGGTGCATACATGTCAAGAGAGACCCCTGGCCTGGGGACTCTGGAGCTTCCTGTGTTGTCTCAAGAGACATGAGACAAGGTTGCGCAGGGCAGCAGCTTCATAGAAACATGTGTTGTGACGTGACCACGTCCCAGGCCCCATGTGCTCTTTCCCTACCCGTTCCTGAGCACATGTGGGGTGAGACATGGGGGGCCCATCGAGTTCTCTCAGGCCTGAAGGGCTCTCTGGGTGGTGAGGGACCGTCACCTCTCCACAGAGCAGCCTGTGAACAGACATTGAAAACCCACAGCTCTTCTTCCAAGACCTCCCATCAGCCTCTGCCTAGCGCTTTGATGAAGGACAATGGCCCTGTCAAGTAAGCTGGAAAGAGTGGCAAGTATTTCTCAGTGGTCTCTCAGTAGTATGCGTGACCTTGATAATGGCACATCCCCTGGGGCCACACGACGAGGTGTGGAAATAAAAGATGCTTCAGTCTGCAGTGGTACAATGATTAGCTGACTAATTTTTCAGATACCTTGAGATGTAGTAGCAAAGAGCATATGTCAGTACATTGATATTTGTTTTTGGAAATGGAGATTCTGGTTTCGACAACTGGGATACCATTTCCAAGACCCTCTCAAGGATCGTAGTGAGAAGAGTGAAATCCACTACATCGTTTGAGGAAAACATAAAAGCAGTCAGGGACAATCTGAGACAACAAGGTAGACATCTATGCCTTTGTCCTCCCCAAACTCAGCAAACAGATTTCCCTTCATAGTGTGCTCACTTCTCAGTATACTGTACTGTAAATTTCAAGCTTCTGGGAAAGAAATCTAAGGGATGCTTGATGACATTCCTGGATTTTGATCACATTCTGCTTGTTTTTCTTACCTGTTGTCGAATTTCTTCCTCCATTTTCACTGGTGAGCCCAACTCTGCAACTTGTTTGACGCCTTCACTTGCGTATCCTCCATACTCCCACAGCACGTAATTCTTGGAGTGGGAGCCACCAATGATTGCAGACCAGTGATTGGCCCGACCTAGGAAAACCAAGCAGGATGCAGTTATCAGTGTGGCTGTGGCTAAAATCTTAAATGATGACCTGGAGGTACAATTGCCCAAAGATTCAGCCATTACTGGCTAAGCAGCTGCTCTGTGCTAGGTCCCGTGCTATGCCTTATTCTGTCAGACACTTCTTTTCAGCCAGTATGCCCTGCCCTGCAGGCAGGGCAACAGTAGATGCCTGAACAAGGCACAGAGGTAATCCAGAATAATGCCTTCTGTCTAGAAGGGTTTTAGAGAAGGGACAGCTGAGAGAATTTTAAAGACTGATCAGATTTGTAAGGCAGATGAGAGAGAGAAGGCTATTTCTGGCAGGCTCAGAAATGTTAAATAACACTATGTGTTTGGGGAGTTATAAGTAATTTAGCATTGCTGTGTCACAAACTGTCAAGGGGAGAGGTAGCAATTGATGCCAGGGAGCTGGGGAGGAGCTGCTCACGGATGGCCTTGTTCTAAATGCTTCAGGAGTTTGGATGTCATTTGAAAAGGTCTGAAACCACTGAAGGGTTCTGAACAGGGGGATGACATGAAGGCATTTAAATTTTAGATAAATCTCCCAGGCAGCAGTGTGAAGAATGCATTAGAGGGAGCAAAATTGGAGTGTAGCACAAGGGAAGTGAGTAAGGAACACAAGGGAAAGGGGGAGAGTGGGGAAGAGGCTTGGGCGGTTCTTGGGCATAAGCATTGTTGCCTTTAGCTAACTTTTATGTACTGCCCAGGATAAGGAGCAGGCAGCTGAGCTGGTTAAAGGAGGCACAGGCAGTTTGGAGATGTGGGGAGGTGACTATAGTGGGATGCAGGAGGGACTTGATGGATGAGCCAAGGTGAGAACAGAATCAGATCTGGGTAGGACCAAGACAGAACATAACCTGATGAGTTTACAAAGTCCTGGGGGCAGAAGGAAAGGAATGGAGATCAACACCCGCCTACACTGGATTTGTCTCTGCACCTGATGGACGCATGTGTATATATTTATTATTAAGTTGCATATAATCCATTGTAAGGTTGAATCGGTTCCCAGCCATTCTTTGATCGGTTTTATAAAGTCTCATATTAAAGAACAACTTCAGCCATAGTGACGAGGAAGACTCGAACTGGGCAGATCTAATGGACATTTGTCTTTTACCAGCCTCTGATTGAGAGTGGGCAGAACACTCCACTCCACCCCCCCACTCAAGAAAATGATTCCCTCACATGCTACCCCCAGGCTCTCTTCTCCTAAGTACATGGAGAACATGGACACAAAGAACCCTCTGGCTGCTGAAGCCAGTAGTGTCCCATCCCAGGCCAATGACATCATCATGTGGGGCTGCCCAACTGTTTATTTCCTATATATCAGGAAAATGCAAACTCTGTGTTTATCCAACTTGACCCTAGAGAAGACAATGGAGATGCTGCCAGCTATTCTGAAACTCCTTTTCTGAGTGGGGAGAATGTTCTAGCTGTCATGTAAGCTGAAATTGCTTCTGTGCAGGGATAAGAACTAGGAGTCAGTTGTGACCTTTGGCTCATGATGTGAACACAGGGAGACCAGCTTCAGCATCTCTGCTCTCCCTACGATGCTTCACCAGACCCATCCTACCTACCTGCATTTCTGTACCTGAGTGGCTTAGTGCATGCTGACCCCTCTGTGCTTGCTTGGCTAACTCTCATTCCTCCTTTATGATTTACTCAGAAGCCTCGCAGGACTACCCTAGAGTGACCTAAACCCTAGCCCTCTCTCTCCTCAAGGCATAGATCACATTTATGATCACTCCTGCATGGCTCTTTTCTCACTAGCCTGTACGCTCCTTGAGAAGATCTGTCTTCTGCACTGTTTCCCCAGTGTTAAGCATAATGCCTGATGAGTTGTGAGTGATTATTACATTTTTTCTGAAACATTTCATCCAAACAATCAAATGGGACAGTAGCAGAACATAGGCTGGAAGCATTGGGGATCGGGCTTGCAGAGATGTAATTCAATGTGATTGACTCCAAGTCTCAATTCAGCAGTGTCCCTGACACCTACTGGGCTAATGCACTCAGCCATCTTGCACGTTGTTAAAAAATTAACATCAAGCAACAACAAAAAAGAAAGACAGTGGTCTGAGAGTCAATAGTCAGGGATTTAAATCCTAACATTGCCACTTAACAGCTATGTAAACTTGGTTAAATTCCAATTACTTTATATCCCTGAGTCTCAACTCCCTCTTTTGTAATTCAAGGATGATAATGCCTACTTTATCAACCTATTACAAGAATTAAATTCAATTTAAAAGTGAGATAATATATGTGAAATCACTACCAACACACAATAGACTCTCAATAATTATAGTTTCCTCCTCTCTTGGTTGTTAGGGAGCCTATATAAATGAGTAAAACATAAAACCTGCCTTTAATTCAGTATAAGAGATAAGAAATGTGTATTATATGAAGTAAAGTAAGAGAATAGGAACACGCACATTGATGGGGTATTAAGATGGACCCAGATGGCTGGTTTGTTCATTCAACGTCCATTAACTATATGCCAAACCCAGTGGCAGGCCCTGGACACTGACAGGAATTGGATACAGTGCTTGTCCTGGAGGGACTCACAGGCTGGGGGTGAGGAAGCAGATGGATAAGCAGATTACTTACAATCCTGTATAGTCAGGGTTATTATAGAAATAAGAACACTGAGCAGAGGGAATAAAGCAGATAACTTCAAATTCCCCAAATCCAAAGTCTAAAATGGAGGAGTGCAGAGAAGCAGTTGTCACAGAAGAAGAATCTATCTGGATTTCTTACTCAAATAAAAACCTCAGGGTGCTGGTATCAAGGCCAATTTAACCTTCTAGACAACACAGTTGTTAATTTATCCACATTAATTCACATCAACATGTCGAATGACATCAAAAGTCATCACATTTGAAGGACATCAACCACGTAAGAGATATCTTTTAAGTAGTGGACTTGGAGAGGGGCCAGACAAGTCCTCCCTATGGGCATAAGGCAGGATCTGTGGAAAAACAATTTGTAACATCAGAGAGGATGATAATGACAGGTGAGCACAGGGTGGTATAGGGACAGAGGCGCTGGGGAGCAAGAGCCATAAGACTTGTACTCTTGGCCCTCATTTGTGATCACGAATCAGTCATTCAATCTCTTAGGGTCTCAGTTTTGAAAAATAGAGATGATAATTACTAGGCTGTACTAACTCTTAGAGTTGTGCTAATTAATTGGGTTGATTTGGAAAGAAGCATGAAAGCGGTTGAAGAAGGACTATAGAAAACAAAGCAAAGAAAGAACTATAGAAAACAAAGCAAAAGAAAGCCCTATGGGGAGCCACAAGAGGAGTCTAAAAGCAGGTGGAGGAGGAAGGAAAGTATCCCATGGGAAGGAGGCTCCCATGGGAAGACTGGAAGGGTGGTAAGAACAGGGATTCTGTTAAAAGTGGAGAAGTCGGTAAACACCTAGAAGGTTTCAGTATAATTCCTTCCTAGGTGTCATCAACAATACAATCTCACTCTCATTTTATAGATGATGAAATTGAGCTCCAGAGATGTGAATGCATGTACACACACAGATAAATAATGAGGGGCAAAGCTGGGGTTCAAACCCAGATTCACTTGATCCCAGAGCACATGCTCTTTCCCCTGTAACACAATGAAAGGTCCAAAAATGGAGGGGACCATTTGGCTGACTGGAGAGTTAGAGGACAGTGGCGCAGCGGCTAAGCGCTGGGTTGCGAAGCTGCCCGCAGCCTCTGCAGCGCTGGTTCGATCCCCGGCTGCTCCCCGGCCACCGGAGGAGGGTCCCCCATGGCGCGCAGACCTCTCCTGCCGCCCGCTGCTCCCCTCAGCAGTGTACTTCGGTCCTTCTGCCTGCTCTGCTCCCCTCTCTGGCTCTGGTGAATTCTCTCACCCTCCCTCACTTCTGACTGTACCCAGTGCTTGTATAAATAAATAAATAAATCTTTGGGGGGAAAAAAAGATGAAAAAGAAAGAGGGCCAGGTTGGGGCAGTCAGGGTGCTGCCCTCAAGGGGGGAGCATGGAAGGTTCCTTTTGCAAAGAATGACGACCAGAGTTAACATATATTGAGCTTTACTGTGTGCTTGGCACTGTGCCAAGGCCTTGACCTACATTACCACATTAAACACTCAAAAAAGGAAAGTTGTGATACAGATGCCATCATAATTTCTGCTTTTCACATGAGGAAACATTCTCAGAGAGTGTAAATGAGTGAAACTAAGATCGCAGAAGCAGATGAACGAAGACTCCGTCTGGCACCAGAGCCAAGCCCTTCCCCAGCACAAGGCATCATACCCCAAGAAAGTCAGGGAGAGGGGCCCAAAGAGACCCACAAACATTTCCTGCATGAGTTGTGTAGGGTTTGAATTAGGGCAGTGGAGAGGAAACAGGACACTAGACCAGAAGTGTGAGCCAATAAAAGGGAAGCTTGGACAATGTTTGGGAGGCAGTTGGAAGTAGTTAAAACTCTGGTTTGGGGATCAGACTAACATGTGTTCTAGTCTCAGTTCTGAAACTTTCTAGATTAAGTCAGTTAACCAAAGTCAAGCTCAGTTTCCTCATCTGTAATTCATGAAGCAATGATAGTGACTGATCTATACAACACGAGCTAAAAATATTAGCCAGTCAAACTTAATTTGAACACAACAAGGCAAATCTAGATAAATTTCTGGAAGTCATGAGATCAAAGAGAATCTGATTGGGTGATAGGGTGGCAAGTTGACTTAGAACTGGTGGGCAGAGATGACAGGAATGAAGATGCGAGAACTAAGTCTGAGAAACCTTAGGGAGTCACCTAACTAGTGGTCTGGGACATGCAGAATGAAGAAGCAAAGCAGACTCCAATTACCGGGAACACAGAAATTTAGCCCTAATATCCTCCAGGAAACAAGGGAGAAGAGGAAGAAATCCCAGATATCAGCAGGCCTGGGGCAAAGGGGATGAGGCCTCCTTAAAGGAATATTCAGGGAGGGGTTCTTGGTGAAAAACT